CACTCCTCAGGGAGCCCCCCAGCTTTGTGAAGTGCCTGTCACATGTCTGGGACACATACATGGTCCCTCCATGAGACTCAGATCTTTAAAGGCAGAGGCCGTGTTTGTACATCAGTGTATTCCCAGCGCCCACGGCTCCTGTGCATGATACATAATCCTCAAGTATTTTGTGCACGTACAAATAAACAGAGCATCACGTTGCATTCCCTCCATATCTGCTGCACCGCTGTAGAGGATGGATCATACGATGTCACTTAATAAGTGGAGTGGGAACTCAAAGTAACCAGGTCCTCGGAGAAAGGGAGCCAGAGTGAAGTCTTGACTTTGGTCTCGTTTAGGTTATGATCCATTCTGGAAGCCTGAGGTCTCTGTAGTTGGGAGTTTACCCTTTAGGTGTTTTTGCAGCACCCATATGGTTTTATCTTATGTCTGCCTTTTCAGGGGCCATTGCGGTCTATGCATTCGGGGACCCCTCTGTCTGCTGTCTCCTCAGTGGTGCGACTTGTCTTCTCCGCTGTCCCTGTCTGTCTGGCACTTTACCCATCACCAGTTCTTTTTTTTTCTTTTCTTGAGACAGTGTCTCATTCTATTGCCCAGGCTAGAGTGCCATGGCCTCAGCCTAGCTCATAGGAACCTCAAACTGTTGGGCTTAATGATCCTCCTGCCTCAGCCTCCTGAGTAGCTGGGACTACAGGCACTAGGCACCATACCTGGCTAGTTTCTCTATTTTTAGAAGAGACAAAATCTCGCTCTTGCTTAGATTGGTGTCAGCAGAGTTCACAGCAACCTCAAACTCCTGACCTCAAGCAATCCTCATGCCGTGACCTTCCAGAGTGCTAGGATTACAGGCATGAGCCACCACGCCCACCCACCTTCTTCACCACTTGTAATCCCAGCTGTAGGCCCAGCTGTGCCACACACTGTGTAGCCAAATAAGACATCTGCCCTCAAGCACCGTATCTCCTTGAGGCTTACTTAGCAAACGTGAATCGCCTACATTCTGGATCTTTCTGGGTGTTGCGTATCCTGACTTCACAACTTGCCCTTGAAGTTGTCTTTTATCTAAATAAATCACTTCCAGCAGCTGCCTTTGTGTGATTTGCCTCTCTCCAAAAAGTAGAGTGCAGAAAAAGAAATTACAGTTCATTGCAGTTTTTATCTGATGAGGGCTTTGCTGTTCTCAGAGGGTGCTGCCCAAGCCCCAGTCCACCGATGGCCATATCCCCGCAGGCCTGGCTCCACTGTTCCACCCAGGAGGGTCTCTGGGAGACCCAGTGCCTGCTCCCTGGGCACGCTCAGAAGCACTTCCCTGACTCCTCCGAGCCCTTGAAGGGCAGGGGTGATAATTGCGCTCATCTCTGTCCCCTGATACATGGCAGTTTCTGAAATATAGGAGGTATTCAGTGTGTGTTTATGGAATCAGCAGAAGAAAAAAGGAGCTAAGGAGCAGAACTGATAGTGAGATGTCAGATTCCCTTCCAGGGCAAGGAGTTAGATGGTGTCAAATGAAAGATTTGGTAAGCGGGTTTGTTGCTTCTTCGTATGTGCAAAATTTCCCCTCAGGGAGTATTCAATGTGCTCAAAGAATCAGATAACATAAATACTGAAATAAATACCCCAAACTGGAAGGGTTTCCAATAAGGTTAGAGATAACATTATAGGGCAGTTACATAACAGGAAACTTCTCAGAATACCCTAATGTACTAGGTGCTGGAGGATGACACAGCGTTCTGAGGAAATCCAAGTCCTGAGCAGCTGTGGCAGCCGCTTCTTTTTAATAGGCACCGTTTGCCCTCTGAAGCCCAAACAATGTAGATTTGAGTGTCTTACCATCTTCTCTCTCCCTCTCCTAACCTATCCCATCTTGTGTTGCTGGGTTTTAGCAGTGCGAGTGTGTCTCTGGGGGATTTCTCTCCCTTCCCCCTCCCTTTCTTATCTTAGTACTATTTGGTATTGGTTTTAGAGAAGATATGAAACGGGTTTTATCTCAGGCTCACTGGACGGTCCCATGGAGAGAGGTGGAGGGGTAGGGGGGTAGCAGTGTGCATGCCGAGGGACATTCCAGGGGACACTAAAGTGATGAGAGCAGGGAGTAGCATCCTTCGGGCTGTGACCTAAATGAGAATCTGCTGAAGTTATTTTAATTCTTTTCATTGCAGAGCCTGAAATTGCTGGTTTTCAAACCTTACAGTAGCTTACATGCAGGATTTTCGGGAATAGGAAGAAAGAGAGAGTTCAGTATCTTAACTGTTTAAACCTTCTCTCTGTCCTGTTGCCACTGGGTGTCAAATACCAAGTTGGACTTTGTGCCTTGGAAGGGGCAAGATGGAGAGACTATTTTAAGAGTCCCCAGGTGTAAATATTTACCATGGTAATTTCAGAGGTAATTTAAGCTTCTGAAATTTGAGCTACAACCAGACATTCCTAACTTAGGATGTAAGTGGCTGTGCAAATTAGTAACCTGGAATCTAGATTTGTGCATTGGGAATCAGAACATGCTGAAGAGTGTCCACTGGCTGTGACCTGCCACCAGACATATTTCGTTAGTGGCAGTCAGTTCCTCAAATGCACAGAGCATCTTTCACCAGGGAAGGATCCATCCAGTCATCTCCTTTGAGGCATTCTTTTTCAGATGGAGAAACTGAGGCGTGGCCTGTTGCAATGTGTTGGCTGTAGTAATAGCCACTTGGCCTTTAGGCCTGTAGGCCTGGTCAGTTAATCAGTAAATACTCCAGGGCTTTCCCTGTGCGATGTGCAAATTCAGTGATGAGCAAGAATGTCTGAGCCCCCAGCCTGGGGAGAAGACAGACACAAACATGCCAACAAATGCATAATAATACATGCCTTAGGGCACTGAAGGAAGTCAAGTCTTGTGGTACCAGGATGCTAGTTTACCTGGGGGTTGAGGGAAGGCTGCTTAGAGAAGGTAATATTCACATCTAGACTGGAAGGAGGTGATGAGACAGAGTTGGTGTTGGAAAGATTTGGGGGAGGACCCTTCCCAATCAGATAAACAACAAAAGCAAAAGATTTGTAACAAAAGCCAGCACGGTTGGAGCTGAGGGAATAGCCGAGTTCTTGCCATAGCATGGATGTTTGCTAAATTGGCAGTGGTGGTAGTTTCTTGTAAGCTTTGGAAATTGGTATTGTAATTCCTGAAGCTGCTTTCAAATAAGCCATTGCATTTGGTGGGGCAGTGCTCGTTTGGTTGTACAGAGAGTATGAAGAATAATATGAATTAAGTTGAATCTTAAAGTGGCAGAATCCCTTTGAAGGGAGGAGTGTGCTACGTAAAGCCATTCCCGGTCCACAGAACCTGTGCAGGTTGGTGGGGGACAGTGGCCTGTGGCCAGTAAGCACCATAGCTGGGTGGCGAGGGAGCATGACAACACATGGACCCAGCTGACCCACTCCCTAAACAATCTCCCGGAACTCTCGTGCTTCTGCTGTGTGCTGAGCCTAGCCCAGGCAGCCTTGATAGGCTCTGCTGCCGGCTCTTGGGTCTGTAAACACTTCAAAAGCAGCATGTCAGAAAAGGGAAAATACCTCTCCTGGCCTCCTACACGAGCTTCTGAATGCTTTCATCTCAGCTGTAGTCCAGGTTCAGGCCCCTACCCTGGAAGTCATCTCTCCCCTGGGTACCTTTGTAAGTCCACCTGTGACTGCCTCTGTCCCTGGTCCTTCCCCTGTCAAGGCCAACCTGGTCCCTCCAGGAAGCCTTCTTTGGCCCTGACTGGGCCAGGCTCCTGCCTCTGTCCCCACTCGGCATACTGTATGTTCTAGACTGGCATACCTCCCAGGCAGGGAGTGTGTCACAGTCATCACAGCTCCGTGGCCACTGCACACAGTAGGGTTGCATTAGTGTTTGGTAAACAGATGAGCAGCAGAGCAGGACCCTTTTATAAGCAGTAGTTAGTGATTTGCCCGTGACCGCCAAAGGAACAACAAGGATCAATACTGTCCATGGGGTGGCTGTTTTCTTCTTTATATTTGTCTGAATTTGTTTAAGTTCTTTACAGAAAGCAGCTATCAATGACTTCTAGAATTTTGAGCGGTGAATTGTCCATAACATAAAATTTAGCATCTTAGCCATTTTTAAGTGTACACAATGCCATTTAGTATATTTATATTGTAACATAACCATCACCACCATCCATCTTCAGACTGTCTCTCCCTCCCAGACTACAATTCCATACGCTTTAAACACTATCTCCTCATTCCCCTCTTCCGCCAAGCCCTGGTAAGCACCATTCTGTTTTCTGTCTCCAGGAATTTGACAGCTCAAGTCAACTCATGGAATTGGAATGCTGCAGTGCTTGTATTTTGCAACTGGCTTATGTCACTTGGCACACCTTCAAGGTTCACCTGTGCTATGATGTAGCATGTGTCACAATGGCCTTCCTTTCTGAGGCTGAGGGTACATTCCAGGGGTCCTCAAACTTTTTAAACAGGGGACTAGTTCACTGTCCCTCAGACTGCTGGAGGGCTGAACTGTGGGCCTTGGGACGAGTTGGCTGCTAAGCAGGACAGGCAGGGGTGGCAAAAACACCCGACAGGCTGGATAAATGTCCTAGGCGGACTGCATGTAGCCCATGGGCTGTAGTTTGAGGATGCCTGGTGCATTCCATTGAATGTCTATACCACATTCTGCTTGTCCATTCGTCAGTCAATGGGCATTTGTGCTGTTCACACCTTTTGGCTGTTACAGATAATACTGCTGTGAACATTGGTAGGGAAATATCTGCTCACGTTCCTGATTTCAGCTCTTTGGGGAATATATGGAAAAGTGGATCATATGGTAAATTTATTGTTACAGTTTAGAAACATGTTCAGTATTTTTGAAATGGTCTTGTTTCAAACAAATGGTCACCTGAAGATAGGAGGTGACAACAGAAATGCAGACTGAAATTTCAGACCTTTGTTCTTGTGGCTTGTGTGATGATCCTTGGTGACATGAAATGACTTGTTTTCAAGTGTGCTTTTGATCTTTTTTCTTACAGCATCAAGCTTCTAGCTGTGCAAGAACTACTCGACAGAGAGGCCTTGGAAAAGGTAAATATTTTGATCTTCCTACCCAACATTCACGAACTAAGAGCAAAGCGTCACCACAGGAAAATTCAGCTCCCTGTTGCCAGAGACAGCCAGTTTACTTTATAAACTCCCCACCTAACTCCTAGTCTGCTCACACTTACAAACTCAACCTTGCTTGGTCATTTTAAGCCCTATGCAAAGCAGAGGCTCGCCCTGCGGTGGGCTGTGCTCTGGGGAAGGCTGTCTGTGCCTAGGAACACTGTGAGCTGGAGGTCCCCAAGGCCCACAGTCAGTGCTGGCCGCCCGATCCCACTATCTGGATGTAGAGATGATGGAATTGAGGCCCACTAGGGAACGTGCCCAAGGCAAATGAGGCAAGCAGAAGAGTGATGGTTTGAATCCCAGTAATCCATTTCCCACACCAGTGCTTTTCTATTTAATAACAGGCAGGTTTGCGAGTTTGCATCCGTTTTTAGGCTGCTATGGAGGACTGGGAAACTGCCTTCTCACCCCTAAACTAATGTTTCACTGTGCCTTGGAAGAGACCTCCAGGTTTCCAGTCAAGCCCTCACTTGGGGGTCATTTGCCAGTTGTAGGTTCAAGTTCGATGTATGCGGTAGAGTTCTTCCTCCCAACTAAAGCAGACAGGGCAGGCACTGAGGAGGTCAGGTACCCACACGCCACCCTCGGACTCCCACCCCATACCAGCTGCTCCCCTGGGGTAGTTGTGGGTGTTCATCAGAATCTCTAATGCTGACCATAAAGTGGTTAGAGACCTAAGCACCCAAATGATATCATTTTATTTTTAGAATTTAAAATGTTTGGATTAGTAGTCAGTCTGCTGTTTGGCACTAAAACAAAAGTTTTTAAAATAAGCATCATGCAATAATATAGAGTAGGAAGGAGTCTGAGCTCTGGCTTGGTCCCCTCAGCCTCATTTCCATCCCAGGGAAACCAAGGACAGCGCTGCTGCCTGACCTTAGAGAGGCAACTTGGATGCCAGAGCACTCTACTCCTATTAATTCTTAATTACTTGTATTAATTCTTAATATGCATTCAGCTATTAAAACATCCTGGGTCTGGCGGCGCCTATAGCTCAGTCAGCAGGATGCCGGCCACATATAACTAGGGTGGCAGGTTTGAACCTGGCCTGGGACTGCTAAGCAACTACAACCAAAAAATAGCTGGGCGTTGTGGCAGTAGCCTGTAGTCCCAGCTACTTGGGAGGCTGAGGCAAGAGAATCACTTAAGCCCAAGAGTTCGAGGTTGCTGTGAGTTGTGATGCCATGGCACTCTACCAAGGGAGATATAGTGAGACTCTGTCTCAAAAAAAAACAAAACATCCTGGGTCTGGCTATAAAGACATCATTGGGCCAAATAACAACATTGATGTGGATAGTAGATCAGATAAAGGGGCTATATCAGCGTTAACTTTTCCTGAAGTTGATAACTAGTTTGTGATCATGTGGACAATGGACTTGTTCTTAGAAATTAACACTACGGTATTTAGGATTAAAGGAGCATGATGTTGACAACTTGTTCTCAAATGATTCAGGAAAACATAATTGTGATGTATATATATTGGACAGAGACAGAGAAAGATGATCATAATTGATCAAGCAATTGGAGCAAAATGCAAGCCATTGATCTTTCTGTGTAAAGAGTATTGAGAGGTCTTTGTTCCTGAAACTTTTTAAAAATTAACCCTCCCTCAAAAAAAATCTCTTCTTAGTATTTGTGACAGTTTGTTTTAGTCCTCAATTTAAAAAAAACCATCAGACAAAGCTGGAACCCCAGTACTAGGGTGTATGAGTACAATAAAAATATAGGCCCCCAAATATCAGTGAGGTCTTATGAGCTGTATGACTTCCTAATAGAGGCCACACAGCCATGCAGATTTGCTAGGGCTAACTGCTTGCTAAATCTAACAGACAAGTGGCGTTGGGGCTCACTGTGGTTAGCAGCGGAGCCACCTGTACTGCCTGAGAATTCAATGCCTGGGCTGCCCGGGAGCAGGTCCTGAGCCTGCCTCCGCCTTCCTAACTGGATTGTCTTGGGTTACTTCCCTCTCTGGGCCTCAGTTTTCCAATCAGTAAAATGGAAATCATTACAATCTCCAGTTCACAGAGGTTAAGATTACTAAGTGGGTGGTCTGTGCCTGGTGCTCACTGACCCTCGGAAGTTAGCTGGGGCTCCTGTTCTTTTCTCCTCCTTCCTCTCCTCTACCCTCCGCCCCTACTGCTACTCCTCCTCCTCCCTTCCTCTCTCTCACAAAGTCTGAGGATGGTTTTGTGTTTTTCCCCCATCTCCACGTAGCACCCGTAGAAAGCCACACAACGGTTTCAATATGCACAGGGGCCAGCCGGATGCCAAGTTCACTCAGTTCCCTTCTTTCTGTTCCTTGTTTCTGTCATTCATTCATGCAACAGGCATTTGTTGAGCTTCCTGTGTGCCAGACAAGTAGCAATCCTTTCTAGAAAAGTTCAGAAGCAGTCGTCATGAGCTTGGTAGCCAGCTGCATTCTGAGTAACACATGACACATTGTTTGACACAGTATGATTTTTTGGCAATGAGATTAGTTCATGTGATGTGCTGGACAAGATAAGGATGTACAGTTTCCCTTCCACCTGGACACATAGGGAGAGCCAGCAAGAAAAGTTCTTTGGCAAGAGTAGATCTTTGCTACTCAAAGTGTGGTCCACAGACCAGCAGCCTCAGAAGCTCATGGGAAGTTTGACCGCAACTCCAGACTCCCTGCATTAGAGAGAACTACAGGTGACTATTTGAACTAAAGAACAAAAACACTGTTGTAGAGGATCATTTATTACCTCCATCCCTGTTATTTACATCTATAATAGCCAGAAAGAACCTGTGAGATGTCAAATTTTTTCTTCTGTAGCCAGCTAAGCTTTTTTTGGGGGGGGGGGAAGGGCTCAAAGAGAAGCAGTAAATGCTGTCATTTTAATTTGTAGGAACCCAGTTTTTATCTTTGGTTTACTGCTTCTTTCATTCAGAAAATAGTCTTAATTTAGTAGGGGGAGCCAACAAGAAAGGCATCAGCAGGACACACATTCTGCAAACCTTGAACCCCTTTGTCGGCTCAGCACCTGTGGCTCAAGTGGCTAAGGCACCAGCCACATACACCTAAGGTGGCGGGTTCAAATCCAGCCTGGGCCCGCCAAACAACAATAATGGCTGCAACCAAAAAATAGCCGAGCATTGTGGCGGGTGCCTGTGGCCCCAGCTACTTGGGAGGCTGAGGCAGTAGACTCACTTGAGCCCAGGAGTTGGAGGTTGCTGTGAGCTGCAATGCCACAGCACTCTACCCAGGGGGACAGCTTGAGGTTCTGTCTCAAAAAAAAAAAAAAACCCTTTGTCCTGCAGCCCTGTTTTGTATTTCCTGAACTTGGGAGATCCTGCTGTGGTTAGAACGGTTGCTCCTTTCCAGACAGTCCCAACAGTGGGGATCAGCTCCCTCTGATAAGACGGGAGCTACTCCAAAGGGATCATTTCTCTCACATGTACTGATAGGTTAAATCTGAACTGTGAAAGATTTAAATTATGTAAACAATAAAAGGCTAAAAGGAAGAATCAGTGTTTCATAGAAAATAAGACTTTTGGTGCTTTTTCTTCCCACGATTAGGCCTTTTATTTTATCACGATCTTAGTATTTTACCTTAAAATGACCAGCTATTTGTCTAAGCTTTATGGAGTTTAGGTAGAGCCTTTTCATTTTTAGAAGTGCCGAGGTTTTCCTGTTTTCTGCAGAGCCCAGAGTCAGTTCCAGAGAGGCTCCAGTTTAGCAGGGCTGAGCCCCCCTCCCAGTCTGGCGGCTGCTGAGCTGATGGAACTGGTGAGGACCCTCCGTGGAGGTCCTGGCCCTTCTCCTCACCTGTAGAACTGCTCTCTGTGGTTCCTTCCCACTCTTTAACTCTTAGGCTTTGGTTTTCAGAGTTGATCTTGACCACATTGTGTGGAGGGGAAATTATGCCTTTTGGACTTGGTTTTCTGATAGTTTCTCCACTGCCTAATTTCACGGGTCTTTACTGAGTTTGGGGGCTTTCCTGCTTCACCTGTCCTACTCATCATCAAGTCATGTTTTCTGAAAAGAGGTGACTAGGGAACACAGGTCCAGAGAGACTCTGTACGTAGATCCGTAGAGTTCTAGTTTTTACCGTATGAATACCGTCCATCTTAATTTAGGTGCAATGGATTGGGAAAGAGGTTGGGGACATTGTGGGGGGCAGTTAGGTCTCTCAATTTCTCTTCTCCCCTAACGCTACATAGAACCAGTTCCCAGACCAGTGACAGTAATTTGTCACTCACTTACTTAGAAAGTGTTATAAACCAAAAAATTAATTTCTACCAATTTCTTGTTTCAAAAATTTGTTAGAACCCTGAGTAGATGATCTAAGATGTGTAAGTTTCAGGACATACGGCTTTTCTCTGAAAAAGTGTTTGGGATTTAGATGTGATTTTTTTTTTTTTTTCATTTTCTTTTGTCCCTCAGACCCCAAGAGTAAGGACTTGCTCTAAGAAGGATACGTGTCCTGCGGCTCTCTGTTCTCTTTGCTATGAGAGTGGAACACTTTTGTTTTTCCCAACTTGAGTCACTGGGACTTGTTTCCCAGGCCTTCAAAACAGGCCCATCTAATGCCTTTAAACATGGCATTGCATGAAGGGAAATAAAAATATTGGTACAGCTTGATTTAGAAAGATCATTCTTCAGTGACCCTTTCAAACAGCTTCCTGCAAAGCCGCAAACAATAGTTTGGCCAGTCACTGCAGCTGAAGGTCACCCTCACTCTGGGAGGGCCAGAGGGCGGGTCACTGGCTGACCCAACCTGAGACCAACGCCTGCCTGGAAAGCTGCCCATGTGAACAGGCCACCCAACTCAGGACATTGCCTGTGTGGCCCCCGCCTGCCCCGGCCAGGTTAGGCCTCAGCCGTCAATCACAAGTCCACTGAGTTCATGCTCTGAGGATGCAGACAGAGGGGGATCCAGCTCTGCCATTTACTA